TGCAAGGAAGCCAGCATCTGCAGCAGAGCTCTGCGGCATCTTCTGAGGCGACGGGGCTACAGCACCCGCGTTTGCGCTTGGGGAAGGAACATCCTACATCCTGCCTTGTACATCAGGATACGGCAAAGGAAAATTTTCTGCTGGGATGGCTTGAATGCACACCGTCCAGTAAATTAAAAATACACAGTTCATTTTATAACACCTCAGACCTGGTTCTGGGCTGTTATTTAAATGATGTATTAAGAAGTATGTACGCTTAGCAGTTGTTACATGAAACTTTATAATTTGCCTTGTTCTGTACAACAGCTGTGTTGATTATTCTGACAAATTCCTGATGGAACAATACAACATAATCCTGCTGCGGGTAGCCGAGTAATGCAGTTAGTATTTTTCTTTGTGAAAATCAAGGTTAAAGGTTAGTGGTTGCAGGGCAGTAAGTGCGTTATGCCTTCTTTTCTTTTCAGAACTTGAGAATTTCCTGCTTCTGGAAAAGATGCGTATTCACTAGTCTGAGAAAGCTAATCATCTCCCTTCCTCTAGAAACGTGTGGTAGCTAACCCAGCGTACAGGAGAGAAACATGTTTGATGCACTGTTCGCACTTCGTATGTTTCGCAAACAGGGTACCAAACATGGAAAAATAGATCAGTTCTCTGTAGGTTATCTGTTCTCCACATGATTAAATACCGGTGTTACTGACTTCAAAAGTTGCCACCATACGTAACATTAAAAAGAAATCAATATGCAATATATCCAGAGTCTAAGGCTAATACGAGTAAAACCTATTCCTTTTGACATGTACCAAAATGTCTTATGGACATAACTAACCACACCACACAGAAGTACAGTTTTTAGATCATCTGGACATACTTTCTGTCAATGAGACGGGTCTTAAGAGGATCATAAAGCCAAGATTATGGGAATACATGGAAAAAGAAGGCCCTCCTATGTAAGACACATATTCTTCACTTTTGAGGAAGGAAAAACATCAGACCCAAAGGGCAGAGTAAGGGAAAAAGGATTTTGTGATTATACTTAGATTACTATTGAAGAGAAAAGAGTCATTAATGAACTCTTTTGCCTTTCTGTTGCTTAAGACAAAACACAAAAAATACTTTCCACCACAACCATTCAGCTGTTCTTTCCAGTGCCTCTCTGAGCTGTCTGCCTTTTTACTGAATGGACACGAGTAGGATATAGCTGTGCTTTTGTGTACGTACGTTCCTGCT